ACGGCAGAATAGACCCCAGGAGCTAAGGTGCAGGGCAGAATACGCCTCAAGTGCGAAGGAGCACGGCAGTAAAAAGACCAGGACCACGGCAGAATAGGCCCGAAGAGTGCAGGAGCACGGCAGAATGGACCCCAAGAGCGAAGGAGCCAACCAGAAAAAGACCAGGAGCACGGCAGAATAGACCCCAAGAGCTAAGGAGCACGGCAGAAAAACGGCCAGGAGCACGGCAGAATAGGCCCGAAGAGCGAAGGAGCACGGCAACAAAAAAACATGAGCACGGCACGATAGAAACCAGCTTGGGGAGCGAAGGAACACGGCAGAAAAAAAGACCAGGAGCACTGCAAAATTGACCCCAAGAGCTAAGGAGCACGGCAGAACAGGCCCCATGAGCGAAGGAGCACGGCAGAAAAAGACCAGACGCACGGCAGAACACACCCCAAGAGCTGAAGAGCAAGGCAGAAAATGACCAGGAGCACGGCAGAATAGGCCCGAAGACCGATGGAGTACGGCAGAACCAGGAGCACGGCAAAATATATCCCAAGAGCTGAGGAGCACGGCAGAACATATCCCAAAGCGAAGGAGCACGGCGGAAAAAAGACAGCAAGATCTAAGGAGCACGGCAGAAACAAATCAGGAGCACGGCAGAATAGGCCCCAAGAGCTGCCGAGCACGGCAGAAAAGAACACCAGAGCACGGCTTGAGGAGCGAAGGAGCACGGCAGAAAAAAAACCAGGAGCACGGGAGCATAGGCCCCAAGAGCTAAGGAGCACGGCACACTAGGCCCCAAGAGCGAAACAGACGCCAGATACATAGAAAACATACATTTAAAAACATATAATTAAAAACGGCACGGCAGAATAGGCCCGACGAGCTAAGGAGCACGGCAGAACAAAAAGACCAAGAGCACGGCAGCATAAACCCGACGAGCAAAGGAGCACGGCAGAATAGACCCCTAGAGCTAAGGAGCACGGCAGAAAAAGACCAAACCACGGCAGAATAAGCCCGAAGAGCCAAGGAGTACGACAGAAAAAGACCAGGAGCACGGCAGAATAGACCCGACGAGTGAAGGAGCACGGCAGAATAGACCCCAAGAACGAAGGAGCACGACAGAAGAAGACCAGGAGCACGGCAGAATCGGCCCCAAGAGCGAAGGAGCACGGCAGAAAAATACGGCAGACTAGACCCCAGGAGCTAAGGTGCAGGGCAGAATACGCCTCGAGTGCGAAGGAGCACGGCAATAAAAAGACCAGGACACGGCAGAATAGACCCCAAAAGCGAAGGAGCCCGGCAGAACACGACCAGGAGCACGGCAGAATAGACCCGAACAGCTAAGGAGCACGGCAGAACAGACCAGGAGCACGGCAAAATAGACCCCAAGAGTAAAGGAGCACGGCAGAATAGACCTCATGAGCGAAGGAGCAACCCAGAAAAAGACGAGGCGCACGGCAGACTAGACCCCACGAGCTAAGGAGCACGGCAGAAAAAAAAACGACCATGAGCACGGCAGACTAGGCCCGACGAGCGAAGGAGCACGGCAGAACCACATCAGGAGCATGGCAGAATAGGCCCCAGGAGCTGTCGAGCACGGCAGAAACAAGACCAGGAGCATGGCAGAATAGGCCCCAAGAGTGAAGGAGCACGGCAGAATAGACCCCAAGAGCGAAGGAGCACGACAGAGAAAGATCAGGAGCACGGCAGAATAGACCCCAAGAGCTGCCGAGCACGGCAGAAAAAGACCAGCACCACGGCAGAATAGGCCCCAAGAGTGAAGGAGCATGGCAGAAAAAAAAAGACAGGAGCACGGCAGAATAGGCCCCATGAGCGAAGCAGCACGGCAGAAACAAAGGAGCACGGCATCATAGAACCCAAGAGCTAAGGAGCACGGCAGAAGAGGCCCCAAGAGCGAAGGAGCAAAGCAGAAAAAAGCCAGGAGCACGGCAGAATAAACCTTAAGAGCTGCTGACGCTGATTTTTGATGAAATCGATGTTAGGAACATATCAATTGTGCGAGGATGTCCCAGGCGAAATCACATGGTGGGGTCGTCTCGAGGGCGATCCTGGGGGGGCGTATGGGGCTAGTTTTGGGCCCTTTGGGGCCGTCTTGATGCCCTCCGAAATCTTTACAGTGCGATGTTAGACACATTCATGTTTGAGGATGTCCCTAGCGAAATCGTTATGTTTAGAAGGCTGGCTTAGACCATCAGGAAGCCTTTTCAAGAGCGATTCCAAGACGATGTTAGAACAGCAGTTGTCAAAACGATGTTGTTGCTGTTGTTCATGGTTTAAGGATGTCCCCAGCGAAATCGTCATGTTCGGCAGTCTCCAGGGCGCTGTTGGAGACATCTTGGGCTCCTTTTGGGGCTATCATTTCCCCATCTTGAAGCACTTCGAGAACGATGCCGAGGCGATGTTGCGAACATCTCATTTTTTGAGGATGCCCCCAACGAAATGAACATGTTCTGCCGTGCTGCTTTTTCGGTCTGCCGCGCCCCTCCAGATGTTCTGAGGATGTCCCGAGCGAAAGAGCCATGTTTTTTATATGAGAGGTAGTACACCAGCTTTTCCAACAAGTCATTTGTTCGAGGACGTCTCGGGCGAAACGCCCATTTTGCATGTACAACAAAAAGCCTTGACATTATTCAACATGCCGACGTTCTGAGGATGTCTCGAGCAAAAACGTCATGTTGAACAGAACACGTCTTAAACGATAGCCTCCAACATCTCCATTGTCGGAGGATGTCTCGAGCGAAATCGCTGTTTTGGAGAACCTGACCAGACAAGAACGGGAATAAAAAACAAAACAAACAGAAAATAAAAAAAAATAAAAAACAGAAAATAAAATAAAAAAAAAAACAAAAAAAAAAAATAAATAAATAGAAAATAAAAAAAGTTGTAAAAGACGTCGCTTTAAGTCCACCAGCATGTGGAAACAATAATCCGTAGAATATTTTATGAAAAATTGGCATAACATGCACATTTTTGTTGTTAGCCGCACAGTAATTCCGTGGCGCGCGATTCGCTTGCTGCGGTGTGTTTTGCTGGCTCCTGTGTTCTGCGTGCTCCTGTTCTGCCGTGCTTCTGTGTTCTGCCGTGCCTCTGTGTGCTCTGTGTGTTCTGCCGTGTTCCTGTATCTGCCGTGCGGATCGTCGCGGTTGTCGTTTTGGCAGAGTTTCTGGGCGCACACGGCAGAAAAAGATCAGGAGCATGGCAGAATAGGCCCCAAGAGCGAAGGAGTGCGGCAGAGAAAGACAAGGAACACAGCAGAATAGACCCCAAGAGCAAATGAGTACGGCAGGATAGACCCCAAAAGCTAAGGAGCACGGCAGAAAATGACCAGGAGCACGGCAGAATAGGCCCCAAGAGCGAAGGAGCACGGCAGAAAAAAACAGGAGCACGCCAGAGTAGACCCCAAGAGCTAAAGGAGTGCGGGACAATAGACCCCAAGAGCAAAGGAGCAAACCAGAAAAAGACGAGGAGCACAGCAGAATAGAACCCGAAAGACAAGGAACACGGCAGAATATGCCCCAAGTGCGAAGGAACACGACAGAAAAAAAACGGGAGCACGGCAGACTAGGCCCCATGAGCGAAGGAGCCCGGCAGAAAAAGACCAGGAGCACATCAGAATAGGCCCCATGAGCGAAGGAGCACGTCGGAAACAAACCAGGAGCACGGCAGAATAGACCCCAAGAGCTGCCGAGCCCGGCAGAAAAAGACCAGGAGCACGGCAGAATAGACCCCAAGAGCTAAGGAGCACGGCAGAATAGGCCGCAAGAGCGAAAAAGACGCCAGAAAAAGACCAGGAGCACGGCAGAAAATGCCCCAAGAGCTAAGGACGACGGCAGAAAAGACCGAAGCAGAGCAGAAAAGGCCCGAGGAGCCAAGGAGTCCGACAGAAAAGAACAGGAGCACGGCAGAATAGAACCCAAGAGACAAGGAGCACGGCAGAATGGACCCCAAGAGCGAAGGAGCAAGGCATAAAGAAACCAGGAGCACGGCAGAGTAGACCCCCAGAGCTCAGGGGCACGGCAGAAAAAGACCATGAGCACGGCAGAATAGGCCCGAAGAGCGAAGGAGCAAACCAGAAAAAGACGAGGAGCACGGCAGAATAGAACCCAAGAGACAAGGAGCACGGCAGAAGATGCCCCAAGTGCGAAGGAGCACGGCAGAAAAAGACCAGGAGCACGGCAGAATAGACCCCCGGAGCTCAGGGGCACGGCAGAAAAAGACCAGGATCACGGCAGAATAGACCCCAAGAGCTAAGGAGCGCGGCAGAAAAACGACCAGGAGCACGGCAGAATAGGCCCCATGAGCGAAGGAGCACGGCGGAAAAAAAATAGGAGCACGGCAGAATAGACCCCAAGAGCTGAGGAGCACGGCAGAATGGGCCCCAAGAGCGAAGGAGCACGGCAGAAAATGACCAGGAGCACGGCAGAATAGACCCGAAGAGCTAAGGAGCACGGCAGAAAAGGCCCGAAGAGCGAAGGAGAACGGCAAAAAAAACAGGAGCACGGCAGAGTAGACCCCAAGAGCTAAGGAGCACGGCAGAAAAAGACCAGGAGCACGGCAGAACAGGCCCGAAGAGCGAAGAAGTACGGCAGAAGAAGACCCGAAGCACGGCAGAGTATACCCCAAGCGCTAAAGAGAACGGCAGATAGACCCCCGAAACGAAGGAACACGGCAGAAATACTCATTATCTGCCGTGTGTTTTTTTCTCGTCTGCCGTGCTCCGCCCGATGTTCTAAGGATGTCTGCAGCAAAAGCGCAATTTTTACATGAGAGGTAATAAAACCGCCTCTCCAACATATCATTGGTGTGAGGATGTCTCAGGCGATACACCAGTTTCTGAACATATGTCAAATTCGCGGCTTCCCATGTGTTGGGGGATGTCTCTGGCGAAACGCTTACGTTTGATATAAGATCGACGTTACGAACATATCGACTTGGTGAGGTTGTCTCAGGCGAAATCACATTTTGGAGTCTCGAGGGCGATCCTGGGGGTCATGTTGGGGCTCGATTGGGGCCCTTTGGGGCCCTCTTGATGCCCTCATACGACACTACTCCACACAGGCATACAACCAATGTATGAGGCATACAGAGTCTACACGAGCTCTTAGTGTTAGCTCGCAAGCGCAGCACGAGCATCCGACTCAATCCGCGTATTCTGCGAGCGTGAGGGAGCGTTTGCACCTCTCGTCCGGGGATGATGCCTCTGAATGATCGTCGATGCCGAGGATACCCCCGACCGCGTGACCAACAGTGCTCAAGTGGCGGACATAGAAATTAAGGTAATCTTCCCCGTCGCGCGTGCGGCCCCACGCCACCTTCAGCTCAACCTTGCCGAACCACCTCCATGGCTGGCGCTGATCACGATGGCTCGCCAAGTACCTGAAGCCATTCGTCTGCTGCTTATTGGCCCACGCACCAGTGATGTTGAGCGCCTTGATGTACATGTCGGTCGCGCAATGTGCATGTCGGTCGCTTCGCACCTCCGCACCCACGCGAAGAAGAATCTCATCTGGGCCACATTTTTGTGGAATATTGATGAGCACGTGCTCGCCAGTCCGTGCGATGTCAAAGCTCTGACCAAACATGTTCCGCATGTGTGGGTCACCGATGGCGCTGCCGGATGCGTCAAAGAACTGCGTTGGGCTGATCCACTTCTCGGGTGTCCAAGTGGCCCAGCTGAAGGGGTGCCCGCTCAGGGTGTCCGAATTGAATGACTGGATCTTGGCTGCGGCGCGCGCCCTGATCGCGGATGCGGACGCCGCGTCGCAGCCGTACGTCTCGGCCAAGAAGTCGGGCAACTTCGACTCCACGATTTTCCGCCCAAGCGCCAAGCCAGCGCGGTTATCCGTCGCATAGTGAACGCCCGCGAAGGTGCGGAAGAACGCGACAGAGAAGTCCAGGAGCCGAATCTCCTCGCGCTGCGCGGGGGTGAGGATGGCAACGACGTCCAACCACGAGGACAAGCTGGAGGCGGCGGAGTGCATGGCGGGCCAGGCCGGGTGCACAGGGCAGCCCTCGGTGTACGCGGTGAAGTCTTCGGCGCTGTTCACAGGCTTGGCGGCCACGAAGTCGGCCATCATCTTCTTGACCCGCATGGGGGCATCGGGAAGCTCGCCCTGGATGACTCCGTAAGCGACCTCCTCGGGTCGCGCGCGACCGACGGCCCACTTGCAAGCGAAGCAGGCGGGCGACACCTCGGCGATCGCCCAACCAATAATCCTTCCCAAAGCCACCGGGCCGTTAACAAACTCGACACGGCTTGTGCAGCTGGGCTGGTTGAAGATGTCCGGGTCCAGCGTCAGCGACATGCTCTGCAAATAATCCATGACCTGCTCCGTCGGAAAGAACGGGGGGAAGTCAGCTCGGACGCGCTGGGCGGACTGTTCCATCGTATCCCCGTCGAAGAGTGGATGCACAGTCATGATTTCTTCTGTTCTGCGGTTTTGAATCCTCAGAAGCTGGGCTGCCGCCACCTCCTCGAACTCCGCCCAAAATCTACTCTTGTCGGCGGCGTCTGCGTCGTCCGCGTGCGTCGGCTTGAGCGCAACATTCGCGTCGAAACCCAAGTCGGCAGCGACTTGTGCAAACGAAACGTTCGCGCCTAAGTGGGACACAGCAGCCTGGACCTGGTCGTTACCGTGAAACCCGCGGACGCTGACGGCGGCGGTCTCCCTCAAGCTGTCGGAGGCCCCACCGCTCCGCGGGTAACATGCGCCTTCAGCAGCTTTTCCAAAACGATACTCGGTGCACCCGTCGTTGCCCGCCAGCGCCCTCCGTTGGGCGGCTCGCGGGCTGCCGTGGGATCCTCCGGCCCACAGCGCCACAGACGGCTTCACGATAGCCGCAGTCGTATCTGTGGAAGACAAAGATGCTCCGCTCTGGCTCTTGGTCAGGACGCGATCCGCTTGTCGGCGTCGGAGTGAGGAGTAGTACGCTGAGGGGCGAATCCAATGATCGGGCGTCCAAGTTGCCCAATCCAGAACCTCCAGCGACGCGATCTTGGTCTGCACGCGCGACCTGATCGTGGCCTTGCTGGCGGCGTCGCAGCCGTACTTCTCCGAGAGGTAGTCCGGCAACTTCTCCCTCACGATCTTCTGGCCGAGTGCCAGGCCGGCACGGTTGTCAGAATCGTAGTGAACGCCTGCGAATGTGCGGAAATAAGCAACAGAGTAATCCAGGAGTCGCACCTCATTGCGCTGCGCTGGGGTCAGGAGGGCCACGACGTCAAGCCAAGTCGACAGAGAGGAGGCCGCCGAATGCATAGCCGGCCAAGCTGGGTGCACGGGGCACCCTTCTGAATAGGCGGTGAAAGACTCGAGCGTGGTCAAGCCCATGCCGTCCACCATCGCCCTGACGTTGGCCGGGGCCTGGCTCAACCCCCCCTGGCTGAGGTTGTACGCAACCTCCTCGGGCCGCGCGCGGCCGACGTACCACTTGCAAGCGAAGGCGGCGGGCGACACCTCTGCGATCGCCCAGCCGATCATCCTCCCTAAAGCCACTGGGCCGTTCACAAACTCGACCGTGCTCGCGCAACTGGCCTGGCCGAAGATTTCCGGGTCCATTGTGAGCGCCATGCTGCCCAAGTAGCTCATAATTTGCTCCGTAGGAAACTGCGTGGGGAAGTCCGCACGGACGCGCTGGGCGGACTGCTCCATTGTGTCCCCGGCGAAGAGCGGATGCACGGACATGATATCCTGAGTGAGAGCCCCGTTCCTCCTCAGAAGTTGGGCCGTCACCACATCCTCAAACTCCTTCCAGAAAAAAAAAAAATAAAAAAAACAAAAAATAAGGATTAAAAAAAAGAGAAATAAGAAAAAAAAACAAAGACAAAAAAAAAAAAAAAAAAACAAAAAAACCATACCATAAAACCAAAAAAACACCCCCACGCGCACCCAGAACCCCCCACCGCGCCCCACCTCCCTCAACTCCCTCCTACACCCCCAACCCCCTCCTCCTCCCCCCCACTTAACGCCCACCCACCCCCCCTCCACCCACTCAACCAAAACATCACCTCCCCCCCCTTCCACCCTCCCCCCCACCACCTCCCCCCCACCCCCCCTCTCGCCTCCTATCCCCCCCCCCCACACCCCTCTTCACCCTCCACACCCGCCTCCCCGACACCCCCCCAACCCCCCCGCATCCACTTTCCTTCCATAATAGCAGCGTCCGCGTCGTCCGCGTGCGTCGGCCTGTACGCGGCGTTCGTATCGAAGGTAAGATCCGCCGCAAGGTGCCCAAACGAAGCGTTATCTCCCAAGTAGGACACTGCGCGCTGGACCTGGTCGTTATCGAAGCCACGGACGCTGACGGCGGCGGTGTCAGCGAGGCTGTCAGAAACTCCGCCATCCCTTGGATAGCACGCAGACGGGGCAGCCTTGGCGAATCGGAACGCGCTGCAACTATCGGTGGCCTCCTGGCGCGAGAGAAGGAGAACCTGAAAAAGTTGCATGTCCTGCGCACTGACGTTGTCACCGTGCTGGGCGTGATCTTCCCACAATACTTGGCCGCACACATAACAATTCAGCACGTTATGGATAAGGAATGCGCGGTGGCGTACGCGCATGATGGAAGGCATGTGGGTCATCGTCGCCGCAGGGCCTGCCGCTGGGGACAATCGAGTGTATGTGTATGCAGTTGTGACCAAAAATAGCTTAAGCCACAATGATGCCCCCGAGTAACGTCAGCTTCGTGTTACCAAAGCCAGAATCTTCAGTAACGTACGTTTGGTTTGCCAAATACAAAATTGCGCCAGGCTCGCGCTCCCGAGGCCAGAATCCCTCGTAATATATAATACGTACACAAGATTCGCGCTCCCAAGGCCAGAACCCAATTGAAATACGCTAGATCTGCGCCCCCGAACCCAGATCCCGTCCTAGTGTACGCCGCACTCGCCCCCCCGACGCCAAACTCAACTCCTTGCAATTTGACCCAGATTCGAGTCCCGATTTAAGGATGCTAGAATTGCGTTCCAACGGCCACAACCCAGTGTAAACTACGACAGATTCGCGCTCCCGAAGCCAGAAATCCACATAAGTTACGCCAGATTCGCGCTCCCGAAGCCAGACGCCCTCTCTGTACTGCGGCCCAATTCGCGCCCGCGAGCCTAGAACCCTTTATAAATTACACCAGGGTCCTGCTCCCGAGGCCGGAATCCCACGTAAGAAATGCCAGATTCGTGCCCCCGAAGCCAAAACACCGCGCAAACTACTCCAGATTCGCGCTCCCTGAACAATAATCCCTAGTAAATGCCAAAAGAAGAAAAAAGAAAGGATAAAAAAGAAAAAAAAAAACGCCAGATTCGCAGCCCTCAACGTCCATGCCCCCTGGCGAGTTACAGCCAGGTCTCCACTCGACAAAAAAAAAAAAAAAAAAAAAAGAAAACCAAAAAATGCAAAGCAACGAATGAAAAAAAAAATAAAAAGAATATAAAAGAAATAACGATAAAAGAAATTAAACAAAATAAAATAAAAAAAGAAAACAGAAAACAACAATACGAAACAAAAAATAAAAGGGGCCATATCTGTCGTAAATTACGCCAGCCCGTAATTTGCACCAGATTCGCGCCCCCGAAACCACATTGTACATTGTTCCAGATTCGTGCCCCCAGTCGTACCGAAGGGCCGCATATGCACAATATGAGGAGAAAGGTCTGAATACGTAACCAAGTGTTCAATAATCCGCCACCGTGCCTCTGGGCACGGAGTGGGCGCGTTCTCAAGTCATTTACCAAATACCCCGAGCCTCAGTCCTCAGTCTTGAAGACTCTTTCAGGTGCCCGGAACCAAAAATCCCACCAGACTTCTGGCCGTCGGTGGTTTAGAGCGTTTCCTCTTCCACCCTCGTTATTCCCCTTCGGGAAAGGGTTTACCCCTCCCCCATTACCCCCTCCCCTAGACCTGGACGGGGGGCGCCGCGAGGTGTCAGAGGTTAGTTTTCGCCCAAGTTGGCTCCAAGAGGGCTTCAGACAGCCCAAGATGACCTCCAAGATGGCTCAAGATAGCGCAAGATGCCTCGAGATAGCTCCCAAAATGCCCCAAGATGCTCCAAGACCGCAACACAACGGCTCCAAGTGGCCAAAAGAGCTCCCCAAGGATGTCCCCAACAGGCCAAAATGCTTCAAAACCCGAAGGGATATCAATGTGTTTGGCGTTCTCGCCTTTGCGCTTCCAATGCCCATCCGAAGCCTCAACCTAGCTCCAAGATGTCCCAAGATAGCCCCTACAGGGGCCCAAGAGAGACCCAAGACGGCCCCAAGAGCGCCCAAGAGCGCTCCAAAAGCGCCCCAAGAGCGCTCCAAGAGGCGACTTGGGGGGCTCCCGAAGGGCAACGCTAATTGTGACCTCCCCCTTCGGGGCCCAAGAGAGCCCCAAGACGGCCTCAAGAGCGCCCAAGAGCGCTACAAGAGCGCGCCAAGAGGGGCCCAATTAAGAAGCCATGTTCGGTGCTCCCGAAGGGGTGCCTCTTAATTGGGGACCCCCCCTTCTTTGATCGATCTTCTCCAAGATGGCCCCAAGAACGCCCCCAAGGCTCCCGAGAGCGCCCCAAGAAGGGCCCAAAAATACGCCCAGGCGGCCCCAAGAGGCGCCCTGACGGTTCCAAGAGCCCTCCAAGAGGCTCCCACTAGGCCCCACAAAAGGCCCCCAACAGGCCTCAGGAGGATCCCCGAGGCACCCAAGTTCACTCTTGTTGCCCGCGCTGCTTGACTATATGTCTTTTCCTCTCTCCCCCGTCAGCTCTCAAGGGCATCGTTTCTGGATGGGCTGGTGGGTAAATTGGTTCCCAACCATCCTGTGGTGTTGGGTCCTCATTTTTCCCCACATCCTAAGTGGGGTTCTTGTTTTCTCTGCACACCCTCCGCGCAGGATCTCTCGTCCTCCTCCCTCTCCTCTGCTCCTCTTTGCTTCCTCCTCCGCATCATCATCACCATCACCATCACTCCCCACTCATCATCATCATCATCATCATCACCATCACCATCACCATCGCACGATCACTCACCATCATCGGCACCGAACGATCATCATCATCATCATCATCATCATCATCATCATCATCATCATCATCATCATCATCATCATCATCATCACTACTCGCTGACTCACCACTTCGTCCCCATCATCATCACCACCATTTACCATCAGAATCGCACGATCACTCACCATCAGCACTCATCATCACCACCATCATCATCATCACGTCGTCATCATCACCACTACCATCATCATCATCATCATCATCATCATCATCATCATCATCATCATCATCATCACCATCATCATCATCATCATCATCATCATCATCATCATCATCATCATCATCATCATCATCATCACGATCATCATCATCATCATCATCATCATCAGCATCAGCAATCATCATCATCATCATCATCATCATCAGCATCATCATCATCATCAGCATCATCAGCATCATCATCAGCATCATCACCATCAGCATCATCAACATCATCATCATCACCATCATCCACATCATCATCCATCAACATCATCAGCATCATCAGCACTCATCATCACCACCATCATCATCATCACGTCGTCATCATCACCACCACCACCATCATCATCATCATCATCATCATCATCATCATCATCATCATCATCATCATCATCATCATCATCATCATCAACAATCATATATCATCATCAAACACCGTCGTCATCATCCCATCACCATCATCCACCAAGAGGGAGCCTCGTCTGTGAGTGAATTGTGAGGAAGTCTCAGGCGGGAGCCCCCTCCCTATGGGGCCCGCAGATCATGTTACTAATCCGAGCGGGTCATCGGATTCCAGTAACTGTCGTCACTTTTGGGCTCCTCAGGTTTGAATTTGGAGGAAGTATCAGGCGGGAGCCTCGTTTGTCAGTGAATTGCGAGCAAGTCTCAGGCGGGAGCCCCCTCCCTATGGGGCCCGCAGATCATGTTACTAATCTAGCGGGCCATCGATTCGACATCACTTGGCTCCGCAGGTCTGAATTTGGAGGAAAAATCAGCGGGGACCCTCGTTGTCAGTGACTTGCGAGCAAGTCACAGGCGGAAGCCAAGTCACAGGCGGAACCCCCTCCCTATGGCCCGCAGATCATGTTATAATCGAGCGGGTCATCGGATTCCTGTAACTGTCGTCACTTTTGGGCTCCTCAGGTCTGAATTTGGAAGAAGTATCAAGCGGGACCCTCGTCTGTGAGTGAATTGTGAGGACGCGTCAGGCGGGAACCCCCTCCCTATGGGGCCCGCAGATCATGTTAATAATCCGAGCGGGCCATCGGATTCCTGTAACTGTCGTCACTTTTGGGCTCCTCAGGTCTGAATTTGGAGGAAGTATCAAGCGGGAGCCTCGTCTGTGAGTGAATTGTGAGGAAGTCTCAGGCGGGAACCCCTTCCCTATGGGTCCCGCAGTTCATATTTGAATCTGAACGGGTCATCCTCCAACCTGTAACTGTCGTCACTTTTGGGCTCCTGAGGCCTGAATATGAAGGAATATCAAGCGGGAGCTTCGTCTGTAAGTGAATTGTGAGGACGTGTCAGGCAACCCAACGGAACCACCGAGGGGATTTGAGAGCCTTTTTGTGGGGATGTCTCAAGCGGTTTGCCTGTTTCCGGGCTCAACATCCTTCGCTTGGACAGCAGATTGTGAGGATGTCTCAGGCGGGGCGCTGGTTTCAGCACCCCTAAGGGGAGCCGCCAGGGGTGGTTGCACGGGCTCGTTCGCGGCCATTTTGTGGGAATGTCT